TCACTCGCGGTCGTCCAGGCTGCAAGAACATCGGCTTCCCACCGCAGGCTGATTTCTGTGAAGTTTCTCAGGAGGGTCCAGCGGCCAGCAGAAACAAGATTATTTAGGACCCGCAGGACCTTTGGTTTTAGGTTTTTGAGGGCTCTTTTCTGAGGGTTTAGGATCTACCTACTTCAAGGGGCAAGGTTGTGGGAATAATAGCATTTCTATGAAAACCAGGCTCCTTAAGGTGCCTAGTCCAGTCCCTCTTAAGTCCCAGACTTCTAAATTTTGCGGTGGGCATAAATAAGCAATGAAACATACAACGTTGTGAGGTTAGAAATCTTAGATTTAGCAATGTGCTGCGTTTTCATATTCAGAATTGCCTAAGAGTTATTTTACAAGGACAACGCGAAGGAACCACATGGCAAGGAGAATTTACACATGACCTGCATACGTGCTCCCTTCTTCTGCGGAATTGCACCAGACAAGGATGGTCTTGTGGTGCCAAGAAAGTCTGGAAGGGTGTTCCTACCCGTCTTGTGCAGAGTAAAGTACAAATGTGAGAAAATCAGAAGACCATATCCAAAGGCATGACACGGAAGCCTAGGAGCGCTAACCTAGCGGACCACCCACTGTCCACTAAGCCAAGAGTTGTGAGCCAGCCTAAGTGGTCTGCTGTAAGCAAAGCGTACAGATGGGAGAAAAAACACGGAAGAGTTCACCTTGTAAAAGTTTGTCCTTGTCAATTACGAACAAAAAAAACATTGAAAACTTACCAGCATGGTGAGATTCCTTTTGTCTTTGAATCTACAGGTACCGCAGAGAAAAAATCCTGTCCTTGAAATTTAGACTCCATAAATTCTCTAGCGGCACAACAGAGAATGTGAACTGAATCTCAAACTCCTGGGTTTTTTCAGATAAGTTTTTATACAAAATGTATAAAAGTGAGAATAACTTTCAAAGTATTTGTTACATGTGCCACGTGGCTTCTTGTTATCTAGGATTCTTGAACTGATTACTATTCACTTTGAGTACTCTGTGTTACAATTTGTTTTTTCTACTTTTTTTACATCAATCTCTTGTAAGTATATATCTTAGGTGAAAAAATAACTGCTTACATCATGTCAGGTGAGTTAAAGCTTAAGACTAAAGCTTTTTTTCTTTCACAAAAGAAACAACCTTAAAGATGATTTTAAGTAGTAAACATGAAATACTTTATCTGTATAGCTTCTCCCTGATTATAAGAATATAAGAATATTATATGCTTGTTATAAAAATGGAAACATACAAAGCATCTTGTAATCCCATGCCCTAAAGATTGTAATCATTCAGCCTATGATTATAGAACAGCATTTTCTTATATATTCCATCTACAAACAAGTAAAACATTACCTAGTTGCCAAGGTGGTACATCAACTATAAGAGTTTTGTTTTGTTCTTGTTTCCTCTCTATTCCTTGACTGTATAAAACTGGGATGCAGGAAATCTTAAGAGGGAATTAACTTAGTTTATAGTTGTTCGAATCATTCATAGTTCGCATGTCTGTCCCCGGGGGAAAGATGCCTTGCACTGTGTCTAGGATTTATTCACTGCCATCTTTTCAGTCACTGGATACATCTAGAAGTTAGGGGTCCCCTCTTTGTACCTCTAAGACTTGACTTTCCATTTTCCTTTCCCCTTCACTCTCTCAAAGCCTAAGTCCCAGGGACCTCCCAGTAAGTAAGTAAACTCTCCCATCCCCCTCCATCTTCACCAACTTCTCAAAGCTTTCCAGAAATCAGAAGTACAAATTCAGACTTCAGACCTGGCAGGATGTGGCTCCACATATTATATTTCAGTCTTTATTTTTTAATGTGGAAAAGTAATTCAGGAAAGTTTCAGGTTAATGCGTCACGACACCATGCATTTAGATACAGAATTTTCTCTTAAGAAGACATGACAGTGACAAAAGAGGCAGTTTATTTCAGAAGATCTATTTTATGTCCAATTCATGATTTGGCCATTTTGACAATTAGGATTTGGGTAGGATCATAATACGATGTATATGTGTACTTTACATCCAAACATCATCTTCATACATTGTGTGAAACTGAAGAATGAAAACAAAACAAAAATGACCCTGAACATATTTATATACCAGTTAAGTAACAAAAATGATTACTAATAACAGAGTGAAGAATAGCTTGTTCAAGAAAATTTGCTCAAGGAATTATTGTTGATATTAGCAGAGAGCTGAGGACATTACTTTTTCCAAATTCCTAGGTTAATAGGCAAGATGGCTAGCCACAATTTTTCAGGGTTATTATTACAGCTTCACTTTTAGGAATTTTAACCCCAAATGTTCTAAGACATCGAGTAACTGACCTTTTCATCCCCACCCCATCCCCCAAAAAGGAAAAAAAAAAACCTCTCAGTGTGGAATTGCCAGTTATCCTACAGGAAATTGAATCACCACACCAAACAAGACACCTAAATGCCATTGGCAGCTCACAGGACAAAAACAGTAGGCGAGTTTAATTTTGGCTTTTACCAAGAACACATACTACATTCATTAAGAAAATACTTTCTCCCCCTGAGAGCAGTATATACTGTGGCCCCACTTAAAAGTATATGAAAACTCTTCTATTTAACCCTCTCAAATCTTGTTAGTCGAGGAATAAAAGAGAAAAATCTATTGGCTAAGTTCCGTAAGGGCCAAGAGAGGGCTATCGAACAAATGAAGAATCACATGAGCCTCTGCAAGTGCCCTCCCACAGCAGCATCGGCTTTCTTCAAGGCACCCTTGAACTATGTAACACTCGTGGTTCTGCTCAGGCCCTTCTGTGAACAAACAGTCCTGGATTCTTACAGGCCAACACTTGGCTTCCGTCATTGTGATGCGCTCAAGGGTTCCCCTGACACATGGCCTGAAACCATGCCAGGGGCTCCAGGAGAAGATGCTGAAGCAGCAGCTTCCCTTTGGAAAGGAAAAAAGTAATCACCTCGGAGCCACAGCAGTTAGCTAGAGGTTGAGGTCGTTTTCTTGTGAAATGTTCAGTCCATTTCTCTTAACCACAACTTTCAGTGATGTTGACCATGGAGGTAAAAGGATCCACTCTACTGTGTAACTGTGTGGGTGATGGTTTCTTTGCCAACACTTGTAGGGCTAAAGGTCTGTATATATTTGTCCTAATTCCTAGACAGGCCAGTTAGTACAAATGAAGAACACAGTCCCCACCTCCAAATCACCTACTTTGGATACTACATGCTTGCCTCTAACTTAAAAAATATTAAAAATTATAATAGCAGATTCAGATTACTGTGACTAAGAAAACTTCATAAATAGCTCCTAAGAGCAGATAGTTAGTTCCAGTTTTTCCCCTTTGAATTCCCACCAGCATTCCCTCTTTGTTCCTAAAGAAGGAGCTGATAATGTCCGAAGTGAGTATAACTGTGGAAAATGATTTCTACTTCACCACATATGGCGTTGAGCTACTCCCTCCCTGAGTTTGTTACAGTAAACTATTAGTGCAGGTTAGCTCTAACCTTTGCTGACTTAATTTTTTCTCTCTATTTTATCTGATGGGAAATACATGTAAGGCCTTGGATTTCTTTTCAATGTGTACATGTAACAGGTTTAAGCAGAGTTTGCCAGTGGCAAGCTACTCTCATTTTCCAAGGGTATTTCTGGCATCAAGTTCTTGTTTTGAAGTATTTTAGAAACTTATAAAATATATAAAAATTCACTTAGTACTTCAAAACACTTCCAAAGTGAAGTCTTATATAATGTAGTGAGTTTTTCTTCCTTTTATCTTCTACCTACAACTTTCTTCCCCAAGCTCTGCCTGAGGCTCCAGTAGTTTCTTTTTTTTTTTTTTTCAAGTTAATGTATTTATTCCATGAGTGAAAGAGATAGACAGAGACAGAGAGATAGCATCCACAACAGGGTCTTAATGCTGTGATCCACCACTAGCTCCAGCCAGCCCCAGATCATGGACACGCACATGCCTATTGTTCTCAGGGAGGTGTCTGGATGCAAATTGGGAACCTTCTCACGTGGATCAGCCTTGCAGAGTATACTACCACTGTGCCACTGTCTGGACCTCTTTAGTAGAGTTGTTTTGTTTTGTTTTCTTAATGAAATAAACACAGGG